GGAGTAATGGACATTCAGCCCCAGGGAGAGCACCATCAACACCAGAGACTGAGTTGAACCCCACCCCTGAGAGGCTCACAGGCTCCTCCAAAGAAGAAGGAAGATTGTTAAGGGGCACTGGGGTCTCTGCAGGGCCACCCACCACAGAGCAGATGGTCAAGGACACATCTCCTGACCTCAACATGAAATATGGAAACAGAGCCCCAGAGGAGGAAGCTAGAGGGAAGGAGAACATGTGGGAGCCATCAGTCATGTTGTAGAAGGAGACATCCCCTTCCTTGAGGTCCAAGAAAACCCCAACCCTGTGGGGAACTTGCCTACAGGATAGCAGAATCACAAAGTTGGAATATACACAATAATATTGCAAATATCGTCCCACAGCCCAGAACCCCCTTTCTGGGCTCTCTTGGTACCAGTATGTCCTCTCCACATCTCCTCTACAGACACCCAGAGACCACTCACTTCTGTCTCCATTCCTGATCTCCACCACCCAATAACAGCGTCCTGATGTGATGCCCTCCCGACCTAAGATGCTACAGTGTTTTCCAGGGTCCTTAGTTGTATTCTTCCAGGTCACAGTAGACTTTTCATCAGAAACAGCAAGGTTTGGATGTGCAGACTCTGGATCCAGAGTAACAGACACTGCAGAGAGAGTTGCCAATCATTTGAGGTCTCCCCTTGACACATAACAAGGCACACATCAACGACCCCCTCTCCCAGACATCTAGATGCATGTGGGCAGGGCTAAGCCTCCTGAGATGAGAGTCTTGTGACTCAAGTATAGACCTTTCCAATCAGGAGAAGTAACCAAAAGACTGATCTGGGGATTTAATGTCACAGGCATTTGAGGAGCAGACTGAACTCCAACACTGAAGGGTATCTCTTTAACATCTGCTATCATCCACACCCACCAATCCAAGCTATATGACTTTCACCGCCCCATCTGAACCCACCACCATTGGTGGGACCAGCTTCTGTGTCACCACAGCAGGCTGAGGAGATGTCAGCAGCCATGGGGGGACCCAGAAAGAACTCAAAGTAACTCACAGGGCTGGAACTTCTCCTTCCGCCAATCTACAAAAGAACCACATGTTTCATGTTAAGGCTTTGAGAAATCTGAACACATTGGTGTCTATATCTATTCTTCTGAAATACAGTGATGCAAGAGTTACAGGGAAATATCTTTTGGAAACATGCCCTGATGCATTTATTTCTTACATACACACAGACACACACACAGCCATCATGCTACAGCCTTCCCATGAAAGCCAAGCCATAAAGCTTCACACCACTGAGCGGCTGGATAACAACTTGAAAAGAAGAATCTATGCCCAGATTTCAATTTCAAATTATGTTTTCTCAATCCCTAGCCACATATCCATCATGAAAGCTAGGTTTTCTTGAAAAGAATGGGGGGAGATCAAAATACTAGTACACAAGGCATACTTTAAAACACATGCACTCTAGTGGCATCTGGATGGCTCAGTCAGTTAAGCATCTGGCTCTTGATTTTGGCTCAGGTCATGATCTCAGGGTGGTTGGATCCAGCCCCCCATCAGGCTCCACACTCAGCATGGAATCTGCTTGAGATTCTCTCTCTCCTGCTGCCCCTCCACCCACTCCAATGGCTCTTAAATAAATAAATAAAATCTTTTCTTAAGATTTTATTTATTTGAGAGAGAGACAGAGATAGGGAGAGAGAGCAAGAGCAGGGAGAAGAAGGAGAAGCAGGCTCCAATGTGGGGCTCGATTCCAGGAGCCTGGGATCATGACCTGACCCAAAGGCAGCTGCTTAACCAACTGAGCCACCCAGGTGCCCCTAAAATCTTTTTTTTTAATTAAAAAAAAAAA